TCTATCCGTCTATCCATCTATCTATCATCTATCTATCCGTCTATCATCCATCCATCCGTCTATCATCTATCCATCTATCTATCTATCATGTAAACATTACATTTCTCCACTTTAAAAGATTTTCACAAATGCTTCTAATCTGTAAATCTCTTTTTGCTTGTCGTTTGTCTCATCTCTGTCCTCTGCAGATGGCTGCCATTCGTAAGAAGCTCGTCATAGTGGGCGATGGAGCCTGTGGAAAGACCTGCTTGCTTATTGTTTTCAGTAAAGATCAGTTTCCTGAAGTCTACGTGCCCACAGTGTTTGAGAACTATGTTGCAGACATCGAGGTCGATGGAAAACAGGTATGCAAGCATGTTTTCCACACAGTTTGTGAACATCTGGAAGAATGTTATGTAGGCTAATTATTTTCATTGATATGCACCAAGAAAGCAATGGATGCGTTGTAATAAACGGCAATATTTACTTAAATGTACACGTATCTTTTACAAAAATATTTTAGTATGTGAACAGTGGAACTGTGCTTTGAGTGACGATAAACAAATCTTTGAATCAGCTGTTTCATTTAATGCACATTTTGTACTTATTGACATGAGTTAATTGAACTTACCATCTCTAATGCTATTTCTGCTGCTAAAGTTGAAATCTCGGATGGCATTTACTATTAGTGAAGTGATGTGACATGTGGCCAAGTATGATGACCCATACTCAGAATTAGTGCTCTGCATTTATCCCATCCAAAGTGCACACACACAGCAGTGAACACACACACACCGTGAACACACACCCGGAGCAGTGGGCAGCCATTTATGTTGCGGCGCCCGGGGAGCAGTTGGGGGGTTCGGTCGTGGTATTGAAGGTGGGAGAGAGCAATGTACATTCACTACCCCCTATCCCCCGCCCCCCCCCACCTACAATCCCTTTGTAACCTTTGGGTTACAAGTCTGACTCTCTAACCATTAGGCTATGACAGAAACATGCATACCAAAATACATCACCAGCAAGAATATTCCATATTTAGTTCTGCCGCATTGCATAGATGTGGTTACATTGGTGTAAGTTATACATGCACCAAAGTTCTACAGATATAGACATGTTTAGTATCCACCTTATTTTTCAGCGTGGAAGTAAGCTGTTTTCTAGGAGTGTGTGAGACTTCCGCTTCATTAGCCACAGTAGGGAAATAACGAGAAGAACAAAAAAGTGGAAAAATGGCACTTTTGTTTGTGCTACAACCCAGTGTGTTTATAAATAAGACAATGCATTAAAATAATATGTGACCCTGGATCACAAAATCAGTCATAAGGGTAAATTTTTCGAAATTGAGATTTATACATCACATGAAAGCTGAATAAATAAGCTTCCCATTGATGTATGGGATGTTTGTTAGGATAGGACAATATTTGGTCGAGATACAACTATTTGAAAATCTGGAAGTAGAGGGTGCAAAAAATCTAAATATTGAGAAAATTGCCCTTAAAGTTGTCCAAATGAAGTTCTTAGCAATGCATATTACTAATCAAAAATTAAGTTTTGATATATTTACAGTAGGAAATTGACTAAATATCTTCATGGAACATGATCTTTACTTAATATCCTAATGATTTTTGGCTTAAAAGAAAAATCGATAATTGTGACCCATACAATGTATTGTTGGCTATTGCTACAAATATACCCCAGCGACTTAAGACTGCTTTTGTGCTCCAGGTAAGAACACAAGTTTGTAATATCAAGCAGCAAAAACATCTGTTTCGTACAAATAAAAATATCTGGAAGTGGATGACACCGGAAGCCAGACATATTCAATTTACAAATGGATCTTATGGGAAAAATAAGGTGGCGAGTCAAAACAGACAGATGAGACACACACTTGTGACTCACAATTATTGGTGACCAAAATCCTTACTTTGTAAATGTACCACAATTGTTGTGTAAGAGAGGAATGGTGTTGTTTAGTTTAGCACATGTACCGATATCTCTCTTCTTACAGGTGGAGCTTGCCTTATGGGATACAGCTGGACAGGAGGACTATGATCGGTTAAGACCTCTCTCCTACCCCGACACAGATGTCATTCTTATGTGCTTTTCCATCGACAGTCCCGATAGCTTGGGTAAGACGTCCTTGTAAACAATTAGATGTTACCAGCCCAATCATCACTCTTTAGATCGTAATGTTGAAAAAAGATTCAAGTCGGCATGAGATGAAAATGAACCTTATGTATTTTCTGAATGGATTGACCTTTTTGTGAATGATTCATCCATGCACATTTCTTTTTTTTTAAATGTTTGACCTCCTAACTTTTAATCAAAATTATCGTAACTCAGTTTTCCAGGGAAATAACTATAATTTAGTCTGCTTAAACCTGCCCCTGCAAGCTTACGTTCATCAACCTCTGTTTTTAAGAGCAGCACCCATTCTTTATTTTTTTACAATTCATTACATTCAGATGTGTGGCACAGTACGGAAGAAAATATCCGTCAACATTTGAGTTTCATTACTACTTTAAAGCCAGAATGAAATGAATTTCTTGAAAATTACTTGATTGTACGTCCCAATACAGAAGAATGATCTGTCAATAATTCTGTTTCCTCTCGACCTTAAATGTGTTTCTCGTAGTGTAAAAACCAGTCAGCTAAGAATACAATGTTTTAATGAACTGAATCATTAAACCTTCACTTGTGGTTTAAACCCAAGGCTTTCACATCAAAGTGACAAATTTAATGAAGCAGCAGTTTAGCTATGAAGCAGAACTGGATTTTTGCTTTTGTTGTAAAAGATTGCATACAATTGCATTAATTTGAGATAGTTAGCCGTTCTTTTTTAATTAAGTTCTTTTTTCAGTTCTATTTTAATAATCAGGTCTTTGCTGGGTATGTGATTAACACATTGAGTATTTCTCTCTCTCTCTCTCTCTCTCTCTCTCTCTCTCTCTATCTCTCTCTCTCTATCTCTCCTTTACTCCATTTCAGAGAATATTACAGAAAAGTGGACACCAGAGGTGAAGCATCTCTGTCCGAGTGTTCCCATCATCCTCGTTGGTAACAAAAAGGATCTCCGAAACGATGAGCACACACGAAGGGAACTTGCCAAAATGAAACAGGCAGGGCCTTTTTACTTTGTAAAATGTATGATTCTTAAAGGAATAGTTCACCCAAAAATGAAAATTTGCCGAAAATGTTCTCCCTCTCAAGTCATCCAAGATATAGATGAATTTGTTTCTTCATCAGATTTGGAGAAATGTAGCATTACGTCACTTGCTCAGCAATGGATGCTCTGCAGTGAATGGGTGCCGTCAGAATGAGAGTCCAACAGC